CAAACACCCTGATGGAAGGTGACACAAAAACAACCACAAAATGACAAAGCCAGATGTTTCCTGCTGTGGATTTCATATTTTACAACCCACTATGAAAGGAAGCTTCCCAGTGAGCCAGGATTAAGGAACTATAGGCTCTGGTTTATGAAGTGATCCTGATCTGATTACAATCCTCATGATGGTAGCCGCCATATTGGTTGTAACTTGTAACTACCCTCTTGCACCCCCAAGTGACCCTAGCACGCATTCCAAAAACCTATAGGATAAACAAAGTCATTAAGCTAGTCAGCCAAGCATTTCATGCTAGCCACTGACGTCTGGTCTGTTTCTTAACTGATGTTTGACATGTTAAGAGTGTTTGAGAAAGCCCAGGTCCATTCCAGTTAGCCATGTCTCACCTTTGTCTAGCTTAGCACGTAAGCCCTTTCTTCTCGCTCCCCTACCACCTAAGATATACTTCTGACTGTGTCTAATTGAGCTCGGTTCAATCTTGATTTTGTCTGCCTCTTCCTTTGTTCTCATAGCAATTTCTGTCTTTAAATGGCTGGCTCTCATATACCAAGATTTTCTCTGAACAAGCTCACTTAGCTTAAGGCTATGTCTGAAGGACCCCTAGAGAAACTGCTCTGTGTTATGGTTCTTTCTGAAACTAGGGCTCCTTGAAAAATGGGCTATCATTTACAGTGGTACTGTATAGGCTGCTCACTGTATAAGGGCAGTAGAGGGTCAAGCAGAAGCTGAAATCTAGCCTAGTTTTGCTTGACTCCTAGGTGTCCATGGGGTTCATGAGGCCAGGCCAAGAAGGAGACCTGTTTTTGTTGTTGTTGTTGTTTGCTTTTGCTTTGCTTTGTTTTGCTTTTGCCAGTTCTGGGGCTTGAACTCAGGGCTTGGGCGCTGTCCCTGAGCCTCTTCATGCTCAAGGCCAACAGGCTGTCAGAGTGCTACTTCCAGCTTATTCTGAATAATTTATTGGAGATAAGAGTCTCGTGGGCTTTCCTGCCCTGACTGGCTTTGAACAGTGGTCCTCAGATCTCAGCCTCCTGAGTAGCTAAGATTATAGTTGTGAGCCACCAGCACCTGGCTGCAACCTGTTTTACGTTTGTTTGTTTTTGTCTTGAATAAAAGTAGATTATGGGATAGGCACTGGTGGTGCACACCTGTAGTCCTAACTACTCAGGAAGATGAGATCTAAAGATCACAGTTTCAAGCCAGCTCAGACAAGAAAGTCTGGGAGACTCTTATCTCCAATAAACTACCAAAAAGATGAAAGTGGAGCTGTGGTTCAAGTGGTAAAATGCTAGCCTTGAGAGGGAAAAAAAACCTTGGGGCTGGAAAGGTGGCTCAGTGGTAGAGTGCTTGCCTTGCATCACAAGTGCCTGGGTTCGATTCCCTAGCACCACATAAGCAGAAAAAGCCAAAAGTGGCGCTGTGGCTCAAGTGGTAGAGCACTAGTCTTGAGCTGAAGAGCTGAGGGACAGTGCCCAGGCCCAGAGTTCAGGCCCCATGATTGACAAAAAAAAAAAAAAAATCAGAAACAGCACCCAGGACCTGAGTTCAAGCCCCAGGACCAGCACAGGCAAAAAAGTGCATTATGGGATCATTATACCCAGCCATGGATTTTTTAAAAGTCATATTTGGTTCTGAAGCTCTGCATTTTCCATCAGATAAATAGGGTTTAAGGTGAGCTCTATGATTCATTGTGCCAAATGACATGGCACTTGGCATGTTTTCCTCATGTCCTTCAACTCCGCATCTTGTAGATACACTTTTCAAATTTGGGGAGGGGAAGGGAAAAACAAAATGCTTAAATAAGGATACAGGTTGACCCATTGTAACAATGAGATGTACAAAACACTACGTTGAAAATGAACTGTTTACAACTTTGGCGGGGGAGGAGGGGATAGTTGTGGAGGTGGGAGGGAAGGAATGGTAGGGGGAAAACAAAGGAGGAGGTAATAATGCTCAATAGGAAAAGTACTCATTACCTTGCTCATGTAACTGTAAACCCTCTGTACAGCATTTTTACAATAAAAACATACAAAAAAAGAAATTCTTACTAGAAGCTCTTACATCCTGTCTTTGCTGAGGAGGGCAGACCCTTTCCGCACACCAAGTGGCAAAGCTCCAGAAGCTTCCATGATATGAATAAACCACTCCTCAGATTCATGTATACCTGTAGCCTTCAAAAGACAATCTTTCTATATTGTGACATGCCTTGAGACATAGGAAAAACGTTTGTCACCAAATCTTCCTCCTTTACTAGAAAGGAAGAGACACTGGTATGTTCTGGGGGGGATGGAGAGGGGAAATGCTAGATTCAATCATGACAAGACTCTAGCTGACTGAGCCATCCAGCTACCTGTTTTCCTGCTTTTGAGCTGTCTTCTCTCTCTGTTTTCTATCTTCAGTAAATATCGGGGGGGGGGGGGGGAGTTTCTTACACATCTTTTCCAGCATCATGGTTTGCAGTCGGTAGCAGATAAAACATTTGGTCAATCTTCTTTCAGTGGATGCATGTCAAAATTCCAAGGCCCATTAGTTTTGTCTGCTTAGAATTCTGAGCTGCTGATACCAAATTCTTGTATTCCAACATTGAGTAGTCTGATAGCCAATATTGTTTTACTATGAGCTTAGCCCTGCTAAGTAGCAGAGAATTCAGGAATGTAGTTTTTAAAGTTTGAGCCTCTTATATTAATGCCCCAAACCCCAGGAGATTGGAGGTATTTTTCGCCTTCAGCCCTCCGTGTATATATGGGTGTGTGTGTGTGTGTGTGTGTGTGTGTGTGTGTGTGTGACACTTGGAGAGTTGTGGGTACCTTCTTGTTCTGCCTTGTTAACAGACCTTGGAGAACCACTGAACCAATAGCACTTCTGAGATGAAGGGACATTAATAAATTGCCCTTGCTGATCATTATTAAGCCCATTCTAGCCTTTCCTGATATCTATTTCTCTTGAAAAGTAGCCTGAAGATGGCATCTTGTCCAAGTACTAGATTTATCCTCTCATATCCTCAGCCCACACAAAGTCAACCTGAAGAAACTCTCCCAGGCTGTCAGAGTTCTGCCTATCTGCACAGAAAAGCTCTGCTTTTCTTTCTCAGATTTCACCTCAGAGTACGAGTTCCTTCATAGTACATTCTTGGCTCAGCAAATCTCGAGAAACATCATCCATTCATAGCAGTTGGATCTCAAAATAGAGAAAGACTCCATAACTTTCTCCCATAGGTCTTGCCTCAAACAGCCTGTGGCATGTTCTTGGTGTGGGAAGTCATATGGCTATGCCAAACCAGTCCTGAGGGCAGACCAGGGGCTTGCTAGCCTTGCATTTTGCATGTTCTAATTTCCAAGGAGGAAAGACTATGGAATGGGAAGACCTCCAAAGAGAAAGAATGAATACCACATTCTAACTGCCATCTACTGGAGTTATTTATGGTTTTATAGCAAATGCAAAATACTATTTAAAGACAGGTAAAACACATCTAAGTACGACGGCTAAACGGCAAGATTACTTTTTGATCCAAGATGCTCAGAGTTTTTATGTTTAAAGGATGAAATAAATCCACTAATGAGACAGTAGTCAAGGTTTACAAAGACTTCCTTTGCATTAGAGGTGGTAAAACAGCAAATTAGCACCACTAGTTTTCTACTCTTTGGCAAGAGGAAATGTAGCCAGTGCCATGTAGTCAGTTTTCTGTACCCGTTCCCAGTTCCTAGCTGCCATGTTGGTTCTCTGTGGTTTGAGACTAGCAGGGTAGACAAGACCACAGAAACTCAGTGGCATTTTTTTTAACCAGTCCTGGGTGGGCTTGGGCACTGTCCCTGAGCTCCTTTTTGCTCAAGGGTAGCACGCTACCACCACTGGAGCCACAGAACCACTTCCGGCTTTTTCTGCTGATTAATTGGAGATAAGAGTCTTACAGCCTTTCTTACCCAAGCTAAGCTTCAAACCGCAATTCTCTGATCTCAGCCTCCTGAGTAGCTAGAACTATAGGCATGAGCCACCCGTGCCTGGCACAGTGGCTTATGAGTGAGCCTTTGATAGAATGCTTTCTATGCACTAAGCCCTATGCTCAAATTTTGGAGAGCCCAACATGGGAAGGGAAAAGGGTATGTGTTATTCCATAGATCAGGCTCTAGAATTTCCATGCGGGCCTCACTGGTTGTTACCCTGGGCTCCCTTCTTTCAGTCTGTGGGTCTCTACCTCTTGCATCTGCAGGAGGAGTGGGAGGAAGGGAAGCACACTTTCCTATAAGAGTCATGAACTGATAGCCTGTTTTTGCTCATTGTCACAATCAGGAACTGGGGGCTGGGGAGCTTGACAAGGCCTTGCCCCTGGGGAGAACCCAGGACAGTGCCATGCCTGGGCTACTGCCCTCCTCTCCGGTCACACTATGCAGATGAAGTCGACAGGGATCTAGCAGGGAAGCTGGAGCTCATGCAGAGGCCACTAACACATACACCAGCTAGACCACACTGCCAGAACCCATGCAGCATGGCCGCATTCTGCATGCAGCCGAAGCTGCCCACATAGCAAACATCAGCTTTCGACCCACACCAGTGTAACTGTCAGAGTTCACAGAGGGAAATTTGGAGGTTTTGTTTTTTTTGAGATGTAGCAATGGTTCGAAGCCAATTTGTTTCATGGTATGTTCGATGGCCTTCTCCCAGGCTGCTACAGAAGATGCACAAACCGCACAGGCTCAGAAGCAGTGGGGTCCTTCCTCCTCAAAAACCTTGAACAGAGATCACAGGCCCTGGCCTGAGGCTGGGCGGTCAGCTGTGCACCTTCTGCAGCGGGGAACACGTGCTCTTTTGCAAAATCCATCCTCAGAAGAGAAGCTGCAGACACTCGCAAAAGAAAAAGGGTGAGTTGAGGGGAAAGCATTGATTCCCTCCCCACCCCAAAAGAAGACGACAATCAAAAAGAAAAAGACAGGGGGGGAAAATTAAAAAAACAAAACAAAAAGAAATGTGGAGGGAAGAAAATTGACTGAACTTACCACACTGCGTGTGAACTTTTCTAGGGAAGTTCTACGACCTTGCTCACTTTCTGGCTTTAGGAGGAGGAGAAGGGGGGAAAAAAGATAGGGAGAAAAAATACAGGGAAAAAAAAAGTCTTCAGCTTACATGTGATTTCCAATCAGCAGCAGCAGCCACAACTAAAGACCAAAACACGAAAGCCAAATGGGGCGAAAAAGGAGAAAAGAAGAAGCAGCCAGAGCTGTTGGCAGAGCCAACGGGAGAGACAGAGACCAGGATCCTAGGAGAAACGGTGCCTCCTTGGAGAGGGGGAGGGGGAAGGGACTGGGACTCATGCTAAAGGAGATGTATCCGTAGCCTGGCCTTGCGCAGGCCTCCAGCTCTGAGCTGTTTTGTTCCTTGCTTTCCTGGCTGTGCCTGGACACAGAAGCTGGAAAGGTTGTAGCCTGGAGGCCGAAGGCAGCCACATCAGACTGCAAGAGAGCAGACTAGCTGGCAGGGCTAGTGGTATGCAGTGGGGGAAGGGATGCAACCACTGGGGAGGGGAAGTCATCAGCTACCTTGAGTCTGGGTCAGGACTCTGTTTCTCTCTCTCTTTTGCTCTCTGTCGCTGTCTCTCTCTACTACTGGGGCTTGAACTCAGGGCCTCAAGCTCTTCCTTAGTTTTTTAAATTTTTCCCCCTTAAGGTTGGTACTCTACCATTTGAACCACAGCTCCATTTTCAGGTTTTGGTAGTTCACTGGAGATAGAGTCTCTCAGATTTGTCTTCCTGGCCTAGTTTTAAACAGAGATCCTCTGATCTCAGCCCCTGCGTAGCCAGGATTCCAGTGTGAGCCATCTGCATCTGGCTCATTTTCTCTCTTGAAAAGAGTTTGTTATCTTCAGTGACTTCCTATCTCTTTTCTTGTTCTGTGTCCTTAGAGCCAGAAGGGTCTACTATGCCCATCCATGGCAGTGACAAAGGGTCTTGGGTCTCAGAAGAGGACAGCCTGTGGTGTGTTTTGTTAGAAAGTGCTTTTTTCCTGTCCAGGCACATGACACTCCCTCATGAGGACTGAGGCTCAGGACCCTCCCTGGGGAACTCCTGGTTGAGGTTTCTGGGACAGGAACAAGAGAAGGCAAAAAGGCCTTGAATGTTCTCCTCAGCCCAGCTGCATTCTCACACCTGGGGTGTGCCTGATCATCTCCCCACATTTCCTACCTGGGAAAAGCAGAATTCCATCCCCAGATAACCTGCTGGCTTGTCCTAGAGCCCTGGTCCAGGGTCCCTGGCCCGAGGCTGGGAAAATTCAGAGAACACACACTTGCACAGATACACACATGCCCCCAGCAGACAACTAAAACTGGGTAGCTGAGGAAGCAGCCAGGTGTCTGCAGATGTGCAGGAGGTGTGGGGGGGGGGGGGTGGGCAAAGGCAGCCATCTGTCAGACAGAGTCGGAGGGCTTCCTTGGTAGCCGTGCCACGGCCACTCAGCAAGCTGCTAGGAAGACAGGTAGGAGAATGCAGAAGGACAACACAACACCAACAACATGCCACCCCATTCTAGGGGTGGGCTTTCCTCTTGTACAAGGACTTAAAGAGCCTGGTTTCCTGGCCTGGGAACCATAGTAATATGGCAGTGCTCAGCTTAAATCCTATTGGTAGCCCCTGTGTGTGTGTGTGTGTGTGTGTGTGTGTGTGTGTGTGTGTGTGTGTGTGTGGTGTGCTCGTCAGGCTGATTCTAGGTCTGTCATGTTGTGCCTATTATTCTTGTCCCCTGGCCACTGAGTTGCAGCTCACGGAGGGTTTGTCTCCTCTGGCTGGCCCTGGCCTCCCTGAACTTCCCTGGATCCCATCTTCATTGGTGTTTCATTGTTCCAGAGTCCTGAAAACCCAGCTCACCCATCTCTTGAGAATCTGGTCCTTCACAGCAACTCTCCCTTCCTCTGGAATAGGAGAAGGGAAAAAATGGGGGAAGAATCGACACGTAGGCTTGGCCTCCAAATCCACCAGGAGCTGCTCTTGGCAGACGTGTGAGGCAGATTCGTCCTCTTCCCTGGCCGGGGCTATGAAGTGCTCTAGGACCTGGACTTTAATCACGTGGTGAGCCCACCCTAAAATCAGAAGATGCTCTAAGCCCACTGAGATGATGAGTTACAGATCACCCATGCCTGGAGATTCTTAGGACGAAATGGAGGGGGAACATAGGTTCTGTCATTGTCTTGGAAAAGAACTCCAGATGGCAAGGATATTGATTTTCTACCCCAAGAACATCCCTTAATTTGAGGTCTGGGAGGATCAGAGGAATGAACTTCATTCATCACATTGCACAGCTTCCTGGACCCTCCAGACCCATGACTCTAAGGGCAGTAGGAGGCATGCCTTCATTCTTAGTGGGGGAGGAGGTAGGAGATAGGGTGCAATTTACCTATTGGTTGATAGAAAAGGGAAAACCTGTGGAGGTGGCTGAGGGTGAGGGAGGAGGTGAGAAGGAGGGACTAATCCAGAGGTGACTTCAAATACTGATGATGGTCTCTTGGAAACCAACAAGGCTTTCTGCCCAATGAGGGACTGCCCTGATCTTCCTCATACTCCTCTCTAGGCAGGTGGGGGAGAGGATTAGGAGGAAGGGGCCACATTTGGCTGTGAAAGGCTCTCTCTGATGGAAGACTTTTCTGGGGTCAGTGTGAACCCAGCATCGTGTGCTGTGCTAATGTGGTTGTGATATTTGGTCACAGCTGCCTACCTGGTGGACAAACCACGCAGACAGAGGCAATGGGGACCAGCCTGGTCCCTGGGGGAAAGCTAAGTGGTGACGATCCTAACTGTTTCCTTCTGGAGAGGAACAGGGGAAAAAGGGGAAAAAGAAAGGAGAAAAATAAAACCCAACGGATGATTTTTTCTCATTTCACACCAGCAGCAAGCAGCAGCGAGAATCAACAGAGCTAAGAAAGGCAAGCCTGCCCTTCCCAAAGATACCTTCTTCTTGGCCAGCAGCAGGTCCTGGTAAGCATTGGACCGAAGGAAGCGGGCGTAGCTGTCACTCTTCATCAGTTTGTAGATGTGCTCCTGGGGATGGAAGAAGGCCGTGAGACAGGAGAAAGAACTGTCAACCAAAGCCAAAGAAGACTGCCCAAGGACCTGAGTGTGTTTTATGAACTAGACTCAATGATCCATGAAGATCATGTCCTAAAGAAGCAGTAGTGGGGTCCAGGTACAATAAGGAGAAATAAACGATTGAGATACCCCAACAACTGGGAAGCATCTCAAGGTGAAAACACCCATCTCCAGGTCACTCACTGTATGACTGCATTTCTACTGTGTTTTTGAAAGATGGATGAGAGAAATGAGAGCAGATAGTAGTTACCAGGAAGAAGGTGGGGGAGGAAGAGGAGGATGGGAGGAAGGAGGAGGGAAGGGGAAAGGAGAAGAGGAGGAAGGGGGGTTCAAAAGGCGACAGGAAGGTTCTTTGTAGTGATGGAAGGTTCTATATCTTGACACATCTTATGCATATGATAAAGTTCTAAGTATGTACACATATACATAAATACATGGAACTGGGAATACTGGGCTGCAGCCAGGCCAATATCAGGCTGTGAAATACTGTATGATTGGTTTTCAATATGTTGCCATAGCGTGTATTGGATAAATGATATAATTCTATATTCTTTCTTTCTTCTTGGTATTTTTTTAAGGGTAGTGGGGTTTGAACTCAAGTCTTTGTTTTTGTGAAGCAGGTTCTCTATCACTGAAGCTTTGCCTCTAGCCCTTTTCTGTTTTAGTTATTTTTTAGATAGGCTCTCCCATTTTTGTCTGAGCCAGTCTCAGTCTAGATCCTCCTAGCTATGACTATGCCATAGCTGATATTACAGAGGCATACCACATATATCTGGCTAGTTGGTTGAGATAGGGTTCTGCTGGGGTTTTGCCTGAGCTGGCTTTGAACCATGATCCTTCCTGATCTCTACTTCCTGACTATTTGGGATTACAGACATGTACCACCCTGCCTGGCCTTCTATATTATTTGTTATAACTGCATGTGAAATCTACAAATGTCTCTAAATAAAAAGTTTAAAAATATCCCCACATGCAAGATGATCATCTTAGGGCTGCTATCTTGTCTTGGATGGGGGCTCTTAGTGACTAGATCTAAGGTCATGTGGGCAGATATGCCAGACCTGAGGATGACATCCGGGAGAAGCAGGCAGGATGATACATGGTGTTGCCATGTGTCTTCTCTGGGGCTTCTAGAGGCATCTACAGTTTGCTCTTGGTGACAGATTTCACCCTTGACCTCCAGCACACCATCCCTTCCTAACATCAAGGGCAGGAAAACTTTGTCCCATTAAAAGTGAGAATTCTAGAAGCTCCTTTCTCCACTGCAGTAGAATTTACCTCAACTGCACAGAAAAATCTGACTGTCCCAAGAGAGGGGCTCGGAGGGAGGGTGGGGTTCACCTGGGAGGCAGCACCGCCTTAACTAACCCCAGTTCTATGGTCCTCACTGCTCACTCCATGAAGCTGGGCAAAGGCTTCCATGCTCAGTAGAGTTGGTCCATGATTGAGAGGCAGGATCTGTGGTTGGGGGCCTCTTCCTGGGCTACTCTACACAGAGCCAGGTCCTCAGCTGAGTAGAATATTTTCAAGATGTTTGTCCAATCAAGGCCAGTGCAATGCCCAGGGAATGCAGAGACCTTTAACCAGCATCAAAGGAAGTTCAGAGCACAGCCTGACTGCCTATCAACTGAAGAACCCGCAAAGGAGACAAGGTACACGCACACACACACACACACACACACATACACACACACATACACACACACTGGAATACTGTCTCACACACACACACACACACACACACACACACACACAGGAATACTGTCCAGCCTTAAAAGAGCAAACAATTCTGCCATTACCCGTGGCATGGATGAACCAACAGTCATAAGCCAGATGCAAAAAGACAAATAATGCATGGCTACCATTTGTGTATGGAAGCTCCAAGTATTAGCACATAGAAGCCCAGAGTAGAACGGTGGTGGAAGAGGCTGCTGGGGAAAAGTGTGAGGTTGGGGGACTGTTGATCAAAGGACCCAAGATTTCAGTTAGACAGGAGGAAGAGGCTCAAGAGGTCTATCATATATCATAAGTTCCTGAGCTCCCCACCACGTGCTGCACCTTTGAAAATTGCGAACAGAGAAGATTTTAAGTGGTAATCCCAAACCAACTCTGTGAGGTAATGTGTATGCTAAATTGCTTGACTTGGTTATTCCACCATGTATATACACGTTAAACACTGTTTATACCATAAACATAGTTTTTACTATATTGATCAGTGAAAAAAATTAAATGCCTTGGTTACACGTAGGGTCATCTATACCCCCAAAGAATCCCATTTGGGTGGAGTTGGGAGGGAGGGGGGAGAATGATGGGAGGAATGACATGGGTCAGAATGCACTGTGTGCATACCCTGGCGGATGTGTTGAACTGAAACCCCTCTGTACAACTACTTAAAGACAGGAATTAAGAGGAAAAAAAAAGAGAGAGTACAGTTGGAATCTGCTTCCTAAGAGAACCTCATAGTTACAAAAGCCAATGAGTAACCTCCCCAATGAGAATGGCTGAACGGCAAGGAATCAAGTGAAATTGCACAGTGGCTCAATGCTGAGATGACTTTGATGGGCCAGACATGTTCTGATTTTACAAACTTCCTATGGAACACATTTCTGGAAGTTTCACAAAAAAAAAATCCAGCCGACCCTAGCATAAATTCCTGGGGAATGAGAACAGTATGGCTTTTTAATCTTTTATAGATGCAGGTGACCATTATAGGGTCAAACATTTCCTTGGATTTATACGGTGCGATGATATGGGTGTGGTTCAGGTGCTGGGAGCTTCATCTTCACTGGCAATGTTGCGTGGTGATGAAACCTTTAAGAGATAGGTAGTTATCTCATTGGGGTTAGGGGTAGGATGCCACCTCTGGTATCCTTGGAAAGGATGAATGTAGTTCTCCCAGGGCTAGGTTAGTTCCTGCAGATGTTGCTATAAAAAGGAGAGAGACTGGCTCCTGACTACCTCCTGTTTCCTGCCTCACTCTGTAGTCTCTCCTCACACATACTCCTGCCCTGAGGCTGTCTGCCATGCTGTGACAGAGCCCCAACATACATGCTGTCTAACCCTGGGATGTTCGTTCAATAAATGTCTTTAGTTGTTGAAGAACACCGACACGAGTATTTTTGCTAAAGTGGCAGAAAACACGCTAAATACACATAGCTGAATCGAATGCTTCGCAAGTTTGCCAGCTCTAGGCGGGCAGTGGCTTACTGTAGGCTAAAGTTTCTGTTCTTTGTATGGGAGGGAAAGGATTGCATGCCACACCGAGGAGTGCAAACAGCTTGGCTCGTTGGTGCTACAGCCCCAGAGTCCCCACTGAAGGGTGTTATGGGTTTTTGCCGTTGATTGCCATCTCTTGATGTTGATCTAGTGTTAGCTCTTAGGTAAAATGGTAACCCTGGGTGAAAATGACCCCCTGTCTCTTTTCTTGTGTCACACATCACTTCTGTCTAGGCGACGGAGCCAGGGAGCTCCTGAATCATTTGGAAATGGTCATCTTCATACTTGGACTCTCTCCAAAACCCTGTTCCAAATGTGTCAGCTGCTTCCGGTTTGGCTTTTCCTGGGAATCTAAATCACTGGTATTATATCTCCCGCTACCCCTTCTGTTTCCAGAAGAGGCCTAAGAGAACCCTTCTTAACTCAGCCCTTCTGACCTTAGCAACAAATTTCCACCCTAACTCCTATGGTCTAGTGGGCAAGAAAGGAAAGACTCTGTCCATTGAAACAGAGAAGGATAAAAAGAGGCCTAAACATGTCACCATGAAAATATTAAGCAAATATTTATTGAACGTCTATTGGGTGCCAGGTACTGTGTTAGGCACTGAGGTTACAGCCAGAACAAGACAAAGAAGACTCTGTTGTCACATAGCTAAGATTCAATGGGCAAAGCAGACTTTACACCAAGAACCACATAGGCAATAGAGCTAAGGGATGCAAAAAAGAGCAAGTACAGGTGGTATGATTGCGGATAACTGGGTAGGAAAAGCTGATTGATGAACCAGAAAACTCAGGCAGGAAGACTAAGTACACCCATAAAAATGTCTCCCGATTCCATGGCGCTGGGGTGGTGTGGTATCACAGTTGTACAGTCAGACTGATTGGGATAGGAAGGATGATCTAGGGCAGGGATGGAAAGGCCAGCAAACAGAGGGTCCACTGTTGATGTGTGGAGACCAAGGAGCAGTTCAGGCCCTGCTACCTACTACCTCCCTATGTTGTATGGCCAACTCCAAAACCAGGTCTCAAGACAAAGGCGGTATGGAGAAGGGAGAGAGAGAAAGAGAGAGAGAGAGAGAGAGAGAGGGGGAGTGGGAGGGAGGGAGACAGACAGAGACAGACAGACAGACAGAGACAGAGAGACAGGGAGACAGAGAGAGAGAGCGCGAGCAAGCACAATTTATTGGACAGTGGATCTGTGAGGAGCTTCTCCCTGCCAACCCCATTGCTGACCCCTCATCATGATTATAGTCTCAAAGCATCTCCCAATGGAGCAATGAAGAATAGCACTAAGACTCAGGTCTGACCAAAAACAGAATCCCTCAGATCGCTGCCAGGGCACAAGACTTCAGCCTTCCTCTGGTCTGGACCTCCTTTTCTCCTGTGAATCCCTTGCCCTGCTTCTCCTCCCCCACACCAAGAAATGCAGCCGTGGAGATCTCCAGCCATGGAACTATGTTCCTTCCTCCTTGCCAGCTTTGTCTAGGAAACACAAAGACAGTAAACAGGGGTGGGGTGTGTGTGTGTGTAGGGGGGTGGTGTTGCCGAGAGCTGTGATTTTTCTGGGAATGAGAATTAAGATCAGACTCAGGGTCTCTGGACATTTCCCAAATGCAATGAGTTTATCATTGCCAAGGACAGCAAGTGTACAAAGCTCTTGGCGGTGACCTCTACTGATTTATGAGGGGCTCTGGTTTGTTTCCCCTCTTCTGCAGACAACTGGTCTTAAGGGAAAC